TAGAAGTAAGACCATTAACTTCAGTTTCTGAGCGACCTCTAATGCAACATGAGCCTCCGTACTGCAATTCAAGACTTTAATAAGGACTGGTGTTTTATTGTGTGTGTGTTTGTGTGTGTAGCTGAGCATGGATGTGCGTGTGTGTGGGCAGACGTGGGCGGTGTGGATGTGACTCTCTGCCCTTGTCCGATCGAGCAATCTAATAAAAACAATCCGCCACGCTGGACCTCATTCTTAAGACCTCAAGGTTGACCATTGTCCTCTCTCTCTCTCTCTCTCACACACACACACACACACACACACACACAAACAAACATGTATACACACAAAAGCGCGTGCAGACACTTGTGCACACACTGACATCAAAAGCTCTTTCAGCACGCCCACATACCCCCGGTCATCGTCTCAATCAAATCCTTTCATTGCACAAGAATCTTTCCTCTTTTCACGCGTCTCCTCCAGTGGACACATAATGCTCAAATTTTGCTCCCTGAAGCTTGATCCTTTCATATATATCTTATTCCTCCATGATTGGTATTGGTGAGAATACAACAGTGCTCACAAAATTGAGGGCTGATCTGCAAGAAGCTGAAAAGAATTATGAAACGAAGAAAACGTGATGATTTTTAACAACCTGCACATCAAGATGTAAAAACAACTTTGGGGTACGAGCGCCTTATATAGTTAACACAATAAGTGCACTACCCTACAGATGATAACATATTCTTTTGGTAAATATTTGGTACTAAGGGGTAGAGTTGTCAATAATACATAAATAAATAAAAATCGATACTCAGATATTAATCAATGCTAAAATTAATACCGGAGTCAGATACTCATTTACAACAAACAGTGTAAACAACTTCACACAAACAAGTAGACACAAAGCTCTTCCCCTCAATAACAGGTGAAATACTGGACATTCATAACACTGAGACACTTTCAGAGGTCTGTAAAGGTCCCGTTTCAACAGCATGGAAGTGCACATGTCAATATTAGCCATCTAACTATTAGCAATTAACCAATAGCCACACTAGCCACCTGTTATCCTTAACGTAGTAGCTAGTTGACTGTAGTTAAATAAAAGATAAATAATTACTGTAGGCTGAACAGATCGCGGGTGGAGCCGTGACAGCAGATTACGGACATGTGGAGAATGGGCACAGTCAGATGTTTCTCACTGTGCAGACCAGCAAGAAAACCATAGATGAATGTGTGGAGAACTAATCCAAGCAAATAAAGAGAGAAATCTGGAGCACAGCAGCCGAATCAGACAACTTCAGTCTTGAAGAGCTGAGGAGAAAAGCTGGTGGAGGTGGAGCAGTGAGAATAGTGGGTGAGATACACACTGCAGGGAAGATGTGAACAAGATGATAAACTTTTCTACTTTTGCAATAATTTTTAAAAATGTGTTTCGGATTTTTTTAAAGCCAGTTGTGAGGTCAGTTTTAAAATACAGGCAGCGTCTGGTTCAATTTTTCAAAATAAGACTTGCTTGCAATTACTTCTGTTCTTGCAGGATGGCGTCAAAATTTTCAAAAATTGTATCAAGCATTGAGTATTTTCCTGGATATTGGTATTGAGTTTGAAAGTCTAGTACCTTGACCACCCTGGAGGGAAAACAACTGTACAGATTCTTCAGTGTCAGAGAAACACAGTCATTCACTTACAGTCACACTTTCTAGCCATCTGACAAATTCATCTTTTTAGCTCCAGTTTTGGTCTCTACCATCTCCAGGAAATCTTTAGCTCAGTGCTAAAGGTCACGTTAGAGCTTTTTCATTGAAAGGAAAGTGCGCTGCTGATGTAAATGAGCTGAATGAGAAATTGGGGCCGGGTAGAGGAACCTGGTACTTTTTAGGGTATAAATCAAATTGCATCAGTACTACGACTAAAAATTCATACAAAATCAGCCAGTGTCAAATTGCGATAACAGAGGGAGTCAAAGAAGAAGAAAGCAAGTGAGACGATGTGTTGAAGAACAAAAAAACATATGAGGCCGTGGCGAGTTGAAAATAGACTCAGATGTGGTTACACTTTTACTCTGCAATGTTTGTAACGCAAAATGCAATCTGCTATTCAACGGACTGCATCTAAGCACACACACTCCCACAAATGCATCCGGGGTAGCTTGGAGTTTTAATAAGATAATTGAACATGGCACAAGGACACTTGAAGATGCAGATACAGTGATGGAACCACTGACATTCCAACTGGCTGGCAGACAACATACTTCCCAAACTACTTCCTGAGGCACCCACAAAATATGAGATAGTACGTAACCTAACATGTAACCATAACCAATAATCATCTGCTCCTATAGTAGTTTGCAAAGCGTGTGACAGTGACGTTAACACACAGACACTGTCGACCAAGGCAGCTGGTGTAGAGTGTAAAATGTTATAGATGACCAAATCTTTCAATAGTGGAATGTTGACTTATTTTGTAGGAGAACATTTCAAAATTGTAATAAAGGAGGAGCAGACAACAGTTAACCGAATCGACAAAAGGTACTTTTGGATGGCGGTACTTAAGTCCAGGTTCTGGTACTGGTTTAAATGTCAAAGGTACCCAGCCCACACATAATAATGCTGAGTTGTAAGGCTTAAAATAGGCATTCATGTTCAATAAACATTGTGATCTCAGTTCTATCAGGTCTACGTTAGGTTTAGTTAAAAGGTCTCACATGTGTGGAGGAGTAACTTCTATTTTCTGAGAGGACAGGGTGTTTCAAAAAGAAGCAACCAATTTAAAAAGGCAATATATTTAAAAGTAGTGGGCATAGAAGCTTGTGGTAAATTTTTAAATACAATATTAGTTTTTACATGTAAACCTTACAATGTTCTCAAGTGCTCAGTGTTTCCCCTTCCAGAGAGACATACGTCCACACAACAGTCAAACTCGCAAAAGCACGTCACTCGGAAAAGTATGGTAATTGGCGTAGATGTGGGCGAATAAGTCTTTTTCTTTAATCTGGATTTATCACGGACATTTCAGATATGCTCGCTTCTACCCCTAAATAAAGGTGTTTGGAAAGTCAGTTGTCTTCTTTACAAGCTCCGTGCCCACCTACTATAACATGGAATAATGGGGAAAAAAGTTAAAATAAAATACAACATGTACAAAAACCGATTTTCTTTTGTAAAGATTTTGTTTCCAGCAATGATCTCATCCTCTTCATTCTTTTTCATCACCTTCTTCCCCACGGGTGGCTGAAAACTATCACGTTGCCAGCATGTCCACTCACTGGAAAAACACATCTGCAATAAGCACCTGTCAACACAGAGGCCAAACAGTTCCACCCACATTCTCCCACTTTCCTGTCACACTCCCAGCCCTTTCTGTCCTAAATATCCCTCTGACAAGCCTTTCACTACATCACTTTAATCTCCTCCTGTTTAATTTTATGTCGTGCTTGCCTTCTTCATCGTGACATTCATGACATTCTCTTTCTCTTATCTAACTTCTCATTGATTCAACAGTGTCTCATTTCCAGTCTTGGTCTTTTCACACACTACGCAGACTTGGCAGCAGAGAGGACAGCGATATTATGCTTCAGGTAGTTGGCAAGCGTCTGCACTTAAAGGGTCATACTGATGGTGGGAAGGTGGGAATAAGTGCATGTCTTTGTATATGTGTGTGAAGGCTGGCTCATTACCAGTGGCGATTATAGAAAGAGGGTAAAGCAACAGGAATAGAGAAAGCTGAAGAGTCCGTGAGTGCAGAAAAAACTCTCAGACACAAACAGCAAGTTTGCCTGTATGCTGGGAGCTATCTGCCTGCCAGCAGTGTCTGAGTGAGTTCTTTTTCCTGTTTAGTTTTCAGGAAGACAAGACAGAGCAGCGATAAAGTTAGAAACCCAAACAAGTTAATGAGGAGTAGGAAGTAATGAGCTGATTCCATGATTAGAGGCATAATTCATCTGTACACTGAACACCCCCCTCCTCCCAGATTGAGCTTCATATTTATGTATCTGTTCCAGATCTATCTGAGTGGTATTAACATGAAGTGGCTTGTGTGCTCATGCTTCACTGCTGCTCCTTTGCTCATGGTTCAGGCAACCATTAAAAAATGGCCATGAAATGACCACCTATCCTTCACTTTCATTGTTGAGGAGACAGACAGAAAAACCAGCCAGCCATGATGTCCAGAGGGGAAGATTCAGGTAAAGGTAATTGCTTAGCAAGAGAATGAAACAGGAGATAGGATCAGGAGGAAAGGGAGAGAGGTGACAGTCTATAATTGGAAATGGAGAAAGGAGGAAGATGGTGGAAAAGGAATGAGACTGAGAACAAGGCGGGGGGTGTTAGATTCAGAGAAAAAGGGGGGGCTGATAGCTAAAGCACCTAAGGCATACTTGCCATATGCCCCCTGCCACAACATGACATAACACACGACCACGCATGACACGTTACCACACATGGCATCCTGCATTGTAGCATGGATAAAGTAGAGCTATTCATGTCTCAGACCAGAGTGAGCAAACAAGTCCTCACTTCAGCTGTTTTTCAGCCAGGTTATCATTTCAGATAAAAAAAAAAAAACAGACTGCAGACTGTGAGCAGAGCGCATAACTCATGTAGGTAATGTAATGAGCGATGTTATAACTAGAAGAGTCGGGCGATGTGAAACATGACAGCATTCCATCAGTGAAGGTTTATTAACATTCATCGCTTGGTCAGGTTACGAAGCCTTTTTAAATGCCTCTAGCTGAGTGCACAATTCAGACAGGTGATAGTAAGAAAGCATGATCACACACACACACACACACACACACACACACACAACCTCTCTTGTTCACTCTCTTTTCTTTCCTGCAAGTATCTAAGGGCAAGTAGGGAGCCTTGTCAGCATGGGTAGTCATCAACCCTTAAGCTCAGCAAACGTGTACTGTTGCATTTCAAGTGTGTCTGCGCTCTATTTGAAAAAATCACAGTGGCCGTTGAGGATAAGATGTACATGCCCGTGTGTGTGCGTGTGTTCTGCACAAGTTAACATACCCAGGGCTGAAGCGTGGTCCCTGATCCCTCCTCATCTGTCCAGCTGTGTGCGTATGTGAATCTGTTTTCCTGTCCTCGTTGCCCACAAGTTTCTGACGCCGCTCCGCACGTGCGAGCCCTCCGAGCCCTCCGAGCCTCAGGTCTCCCTCAGTCTGTCTCACTCTCAGACCTTGGCATCAGCAGCTGTACCAAACGTACCACTCATCCCCCTCTTCTCTCTCTCCTTCTCCCTCCCTCCCTCCCGCAGGCACGCTCGTGTGTACGCGCCTCCTTTCACTCCTTGTTGATTAACGTCCCAAAATAAGAAGGGGGGCTCACACTGAGACTTTCCTCTCTTTCAGCCGGTCCTCATCAGCTGGTCAGGGTAGCCTTCATCTCCCTCCGGTATGGCTGTGGGATTATGAGGAAAAGAGAGGGAGGAATGGGGAAAGGAGCGTGCTGTTGCTGTTGCCTCTGCCTCCTTCAGTATGAGCGCCTCTCTCTCGTTTAGCATGCTTTTCATCTCTCTCTCTCTCTCTCACCTCTCTCTCGCTGCTCTCTCGCTCTTTATCTCTCCCCAACCCCCTCCCTCCCTCACTTTTCTCAGTCACTCTCTATCTGCTACTGCTCAGGCTGTTAGGATTCACAATTCAGTGTGCTGCCGAGCGTATGGCTGAGGGAGCCTCTAAACAACAGGGCTGGATAAAGAATAAAAAGAATGACAGCAAAGATTAGAAGACAGAAAAACAGCAGATGTATTTGTAAGAATAGATAAGAGGATTAGTAGTGCTCCTACTACTACTGCTAGTACTGCAGTCATTTAGAAAACAGTAATATTAAAGGTAATTCTAAGACTTTTCTAATAATCCAGCAAACATGGGTTGTACATGTAAGTCACAATTAACCGAGCTCAATTTGCCAGTATTTTAATTTACTCCTTTACATGATTCGTAGTCGTTTCCTACATCATCTAGGTTGCTCTCTTTTTATCACTGATTGCACTGAATGATAACAGCCTTGCGAGGGTGCCAGCAGGTAGAGGAAAGTGCCGACTGACAATGTGCATGGGCTTGATAACAAATGATAAGGGCCATTCACTGCTGTGGCCACATCTGAATCAGATGGTGAGGCATATGTCATTTTGGGCTAGAGTTGCATTTGTGAAAAGTCCAACTCCAAAGTCTTTGAGACCTAGCCTCAAGTACCCTCGGTGCAGAGGTCCAATCTCCTCTTCTTATTAGCACTGACCTAGGGACAACTGCAATTCATCATGCTAAACAGTGGGAATGTGAAAGGTGACCTTTAAATCTTAAAACAAAGGCATGAAGGTGTTGCATCCTGCTGCAGCAGCTCTATACCAAATAGCACCGAGCTGCTCCTGATTAAAGACAAATGGTGAGTATAATATACAAAAAGAGGATTTATGATGAAATGTCATTCTTCCAGTGAGTTTGTTCTGTTTAATCACCTCCCCCATTTTGCCTGGAGCATGCAGAGAGAGGGAGCGAATGAGAGAGGAGGAAAATAGACATTTTTATTGTTTGGTCCTGTTGCCTTGTCAGGGTAGATCAGATCACAGGGAACTGAGGTTGAAACACACACACACACACACACACACACACACACACACACACACACACACACACACACACACACAGAGAAACGCACTCTTCAAGCCTGACTGCCCCTGAGGTCAGTTAACAGCTCATCACAGGAAAGGAGAAGTCTGGACTGCGACCCCGAGGCCAAGGGTTGGGCAAGTCATGATGCCTGGTGGAGGCCGAGTCCAGCAAACACCTACCTCTCCCACCTCTCAGCCAATCTGACGTGGCTGCCCGCACACATACATTAAAACATCAGATCATGTGTTCTTTCTTTGCTGAACCCCAAAAACATTATAGATAATATTATAGATAACTAAAAAAAAAATTTCTTCTTTAACCAGAATGCCTTCTGGGTGAGGTGTTTTAGATATGTCTTACTGGGAGGACTCCCCGGGGTGGACCCAGGACACATTGGAGAGATTATGCCTGCTGGCTGGCTTGAGATCACCTCAGTGTCCCCCGGATGAGCTGGAGGAAGTAGCTGGGGACAGGGAGGTTTGGGCATTTCTGTCAGGACTGCATAGATGGAAGGATTATTTTCTTCCTTCGTTAGCAACACTTTCCTCAAGGAGCTATATACTGTAATGTAAAGACTCTCCAGTAATTCTAATACTTGCTGTAGTGTCAATTTGCTCTCTGCTACATGATTACTGTAGCTAAAATCATTTATTATGATGATACTATTATGATATCTATGCAAGTGTACTGCATTTACTTGACAAGAAATGAGTCTTTTCTCTGAATTAACAAGATGTCTTAAAATTGTGAAAGAGTCTTCACTGACTTGAAAGCTTGAATTATTTAATGTTTCTCATTATTATAGGTCTCTGCGGTGACCAATAGTTTGCGTGTATGAGGCCAGCTTGTCTGCAAACTATTGGTCATAAACTACTTGGCAAGTGGTAGAGAAACTGTGAGTTCAAAGTAATCCAGAAAGACAGAGTGTCTGCCTTAAAAGTAAAAGTCTGCTTTTTCATATGTGTTGATAGCAGAAGTAAGGCACAATTTTTACTTCAAAGGCGAACTTCCTCCATTTCCGTCTTTTTTTTTTTTTTTGCACACTGCTTTCAAGTTTCGCTAGCATGATCTGACATCGTCGTGTTGGTGCTGTTCCCAGATCATCATACTAAATGTTGTTCCAGGATCAACATTGCAAGTGACCAATCAGAATGTTGTGATGTCATACTTTTGCGACTTCGGGAAAAACTGCCGTAAAACAAAAAACTGTACTTAAGCTGTGAGAAACCGCCTCTGTCCGCCGATCAACGGACCCTAACCCTGACCCTAACCCCAACCGTAACCCTTTAATAAACGGTAAGCAGAACTGATATTGCCCTTGCAACATTGGAATTTCATAAATGCACGAATGGCTTGGCGCGCAAAAGAACTAACGTCACAACAATGTGACTGGTCACTTGCAATGTTGAACCTGGAACAACATTTTCATGATGATCTGGGAACAACACCGACGAACGATATCAGATCATCCGTTTCGCTACAGCTCAGAGAGTACATAATCAGTGTTTGCAGACAAGTTGGCGTGTTTCAAGCAAAATATGTGCAACTGTAACCATCTGCTAGTGACCAAGCAATCACAAGCTTTTTGGTGTAGACTTTTCACCCAAGTCATAGTCACTGCTCATCAAAAAGTCTGGGAATACGACGTTTTTTTGGATTGCCAAATGATCATCAACAGATCTCTAAACCTGTATGCATGAGGCCCAAGAAGACACAACATGTATGTAACAAAATTAAAATTTGAGAATAAAACCTAGCTATATTTCCTCTGCTATAGTGACTGTCGGCATAAAACTGCTCCCATCTGATGACAGTGAGACTAATTAAATTAACTAAATAAATATGCAGCACACGTCGAGCCGAGGTTGGTCGTCTGCCTGTCACAGACAGCCATGAGTTGTTTTCTTTTTTTAAGGTTTAAGTTTCTCAGCTATGTAACTGTTTTGTTAAATAAAGAGGTTATTTCATTTTTATACACTTCTTAACAGATAAATAGAATGACATCTTGCGAAAATATCATTTGCTTGTATTTCAGCCAAATGTGTGTCACTTGGCCAAAACACCAGAGCAGGTTGTGTTTTTCTCCTGCTGTGTACTTTATGAACAACCTTCCAGTTTTGCAAATGGTTCAACATAAAACCAGAGAATAAACAAACAAATGTTTCTCTGTAATACATTTAATCACTGCCACTGCGTAACCCATGTCCTCTACAGACTCTAGGCTGCTACAGAGGTATTCTCATTTAGCCCTATTCTGGCACATCAAGCTTGCAGAATAGTTTATCTTCAAGATGTGAGTCTAAAGCCAACACTATTGAGTATTAAGTATATGCCAAATGTTCCTCGTCTACATTTCCAAAGTGTTTGTAGCCTGTGCTCTGCTCCACATTACCACCATGGTGAAAATGGAGACTTTCAAACAGGAACTTCAGGTGTTTTGGATTTTGGAGTGTACCAAGTTGAATTCAAACAGAGGGGTAACCAGTAATGTTTTATATAAAGATATAATGAGTCTAGAAATGGTCATTTGAATGTCTTTATGTTGTTTTTGGATGAAAATGTCAACTACATGAGTTAACTGATACATTTCCATACATGGTTTGATCCTGGTGTAAGTGGGGTATATAGGACAGGGATAGATTCTCCTTAGAGAGTTCAGTGGAGCGCCTCATTATTATTTTGCTGGCTAGTTCCCCAGTAGCCACAAGCCTTGTCCTGGGTTTTGTTTTGGTCAGTTGCCAAGCTTACTTATGTTCTATTGAACAATTTGATACAGTTTGTGTAGATTTTCTTTATTTTTTCCACATAAAACCATCCTGATCTTCTTTGTTTATCTGGTAAATACTGTAAATACATTAAAAATCAAGAGAAGATACTTCCTGTCTCCACATATGCATTTATTCACGCCAACAAATTGTTCTAGCTAAGACTGATGGCTGAAGATTTACCACCTTTCATGAACTCCACACTCTTCTTTAAGATAAAAAAATAATCTAACTTAAAATTGTGGAATTTATTCCTTGGGTCTGCCTTAAACAGCGGAGGATACACTGATGTGGTTGTACAGTGATATGTGCACAATGTGCCGTCACAGTGGGTGCAGAGTGTTAGCATTAAGACTACAAATGCAAGAGCTGTGGGTGACACACTGAACCCAAGTGACAGTCTTCTTTCTCGAAAGCCCACATTTGGGAGGAATTTAAGTTGCACTGACATTTTGGACAGAATACGATGGCATTTGAATTCTGAGTGCAGGTGGGACGTGGGTCAGACATCATTGTATCAGATGGCTTGGAAGAAATATAAAAGGAATTATTGGGTGGAAACTGAACCTGCATAAAGGAGCTAGGTGTGACTAAAAGCTACTGCAAGGAAGGTATAGCCAGCCAAATACAGGTGAATGTATATAATAAATGGAGCTGTTTAGCATAATTTTTTGATGTTCAAACCCAACAAGGTTTTTTTATCTCGCTTGGAAATGATTCAGGCTAACAGCATGAATCACAGGCTTTCGCTTAGGCTTACTTCAAAATATGCAAATTAATTCCACAATAAGAGCAACTTCTTACAGAAAACAGAAGATTTGATTAAACATGAATATATATTAGCTGTCTCTTCTGTGTTTGTGTGTGTTCCAGTCTTTATAACCCCTGTAAGCAGCTGTGTCATGAAACTAATCACCGCCTTGTCCATTACTGTTGTGTTTGGCAACTTCTCTACATTTCAGTCTGTTCAAAAAGCTGACCATCAAAAGCCGGGGGAATTTTTATCCGTGACTGTGGTACACTGCCAAAAATACCACCAGCTGCTTGTATTACCTGAGCTATTTCGCATCAAGTAACTCTATACTGG